GTGAAATAATAAATATGGTCTTCACTCTGAGGCCAAACCAAAAGCAGACACACACTGAGTGAATGTGTTTGTGCCTCTGGCTCCCAGGGCTTTCATTGGTGTAACTGTGGGTCGCTAAGAAGTGGGGATGATCACCAGAACCAAAGGTCCATCAGTCAGCTACCCTAGATAAAAAAAAGTTGATTTTTGTTCCTTTTTACTCTCAAACGGTCACAATGTTTTTAAGACCAATGATAATGTTTTAAACTACAGACGGCAGAAACCTCAGAAGAAATGAGATCTTTCCAACAGCCGGACATTTTCAGACTGTGGCTCCATGAACTGGCAGTTTTTCAGGGGAAAGAAGTGAACAACTTTTAAGGAAGATATGGTAAATATGCTATATCAGTTTGTGATTGTAAAAATAAAAGAAAGCTTCCTGTTTTATAGCTTTATCTTTGTGTGAATCAACATGCCAGCATCTGCCTTTCGCTTTGCTAAATTTCCCCCCTGAGGGAAAGAAAGGCTTTTTCTTCTCTTCTATAATCCATCTAACACACATGAAAACAGTTGGCTCTTCATTTGGTCCACTGAGGAAAGGAAATTAAAAGGTCTTAAATATGCCCATCTGGCTCCTAAGTAAGACCATCAAAAGTTGCCCTTAGGTCAAAAGAAATCAACTGACATCCGAGTGCAGTGGCTAGTTCAGTTGAAAGATGTTAAAACTGAACTTAAACCCGGCTGAGATGCTGAATTTTAATTAAGACAGGAGCTTTGTTTCACACACATTTACATCATTATTAACAGATGTAGGTATGAAACATTTCTGATGAAGAATGCTGGTGAAGATATCAGTCATCCAGGTTATAGTCATCCACAAAAAAGTAAAAAAAAAAATCAATCCACTGTGGCGTGCAGATGGAACAGCTGACAGCACGCACGACCCATGTACGGAGGCCTTGGTCCTCGATGCGGGCAACCTGGGTTGGAATCCAGCCTGTGTTTCTTTGCCGCATCTCTCTCCCCCTCTCTCGTGCACCCTTTCCTGTCAGCCTACTCTCAAAAAAACGTGCCACTAGTGCTGTAACCCCCCCCCCCCCCAAAAAAAAACCCCCACAATCCACTGGACTTTGTTTCCAAGTTTGAAGATGTTTCGCTTCCCATCCAGGAAGCTTTTTTAATTTATAGAGTGGACCAAAAGTTGAAGAAGCTCGGGTGAGCGCTGTGAAATCATGGACCATCCACCCTCCCACCCCATCAGACAGAGAGAGCCACCTTTGAAGGTAGGGGTGAGATGCCACTATATGAACTGAAAGCTAAATTTTTTGACCATTTCTAAAAATTCTTTGAGACAGGGCCAAGGATGAGGGAGGTCTTGTTGGTCTCCGTCTCCTGATACGCTCCCTCCTGTGTCCGACCTTTCAGACATTTCAACATCTTTTTCTGAATCCTACATTGTAGCATGGCATAGACAATTCACGTTAGCAGTTTGAAGAATACCTGCTTGCTTCTGATGATTTCCTTTAACCAACCAATGAGTGTTTGCGTTAATGACTCATCCAATTACACTAGTTTTCACTAGATGTGGATGGAGCCAATGATCTGCATTGCATGGCGCACATGACGTGAAATAAATATTTATAAACATTAAACCGAAGCCAAGAGTAACGAGTCACGTTTGTTTTAAAAATGTAAGGAATAGAAAGTACAGATGTTAGTGTGAAAATGTAATGAGTAGAAGTCAGAACTAGGAAGATAAATAAGTAATGGAGTAAAGTATAGATACCTAAAAAGTGTACTTAAGTACAGTAACAAAGTATTTGTACTTCATTACTTGGCACCTCTGATCATTACAGAGCCAGTTCATAGCCGCCCCTTCTCCCCGAGTCAATCTGATATTTTAACCGTCACCAGCCAACCAAATGAGGAAACAACAAAAGAATTAGGAGTGGCTTAAAATGGGCTAAAATGAAATCAGCCATGGATGCAGAACAGAAGATAAATATCCAGTTGAAAACCTCGATCAGGCCTCTGGTACAGATGAGATGAGACCCACCAAGCCATTTCCTGCCAAGCACTTTATGAAACCAAAGAACATCATCTCTGTTTCTAACAGAAAATATCAGCTGCTAACTAAAACTGACAGCTTGAAGCGCTCCGACTGATTTCTGGCTGACTGGAAACCATCCAGTCATTCAAACCAATCATTCAGAGGAAGCGCAGGAATTTCACACTCAATTCCAAAGAGAACTCTTTTTTTATTACATGGAAACTTCAGGGTATAGTGGAGGATTTGTCTAAGTTTTGAAAAGACCTGCCGTCTCCACTGCCATCCCACAAAAAATGCACATGCACAACCCTGTACCCGCTCCTGAGAGAGAACGCAGCAAGGAATAAACCATGGGTCATCATTTATAGCTAAAACTAATACGCGATTTAATTAATTTTATCATTAAATCACAAAAAAAAATCATCAGTAAGTTTTGCATGGTCCAATACGGCGTCACAAACCTAAACAAAATTATGTACCAGTTTAATAATAGAGAAGCTATTAATCAGCTTTATATTTTTTTTATATATAAAAACTATTTTCTGAGAATGTGTTTAATTAAGAGCAACTATGCAGATTAACAAACATCTAGAAAAAGTACACTATATTATATTATTTCCCATGATAATCCCAGATTGTTCATTCTTCTTTGCCTTTTCTAAAAAGTGCTACCCGTCTTTATCCACGCTGGGACATTTAAAAACGGACACGTCGCCATAACCTCCACCTCCCTGCCTGACTGACTGCTAGCTACATCAGTTATATCGCTGTAGCAGGGGCCAAAATTCCAGGAGCCCCAGAGCCATTCATTTTGGCGATGCTGATTAGCCAAATATTTATTAATATTCCCAAGCAATGTTATACAGTAGGTTATTTCGCTACACTTCAGCACCGCTTTGAATGAGCGCCCAAGAAGAGAAATGATGCGTTCTGACGGTGGAAATGCACCATTGAATGAGAGTAAATTGGTAGAAATGTTGTTTTAATAATTCATATTACATGTAGCCACATACTATTATATAGTATGTATACACATACTATTAAGTAACACTGTCATTAATATTACTTTTAAAATCTAAATATATTATGACTTCCCCCCCCATGGGCCAGCTGCCAGTGGTTCTAAGGGGAATGCAGATACATTAAAAGTCTCCGCCCTGACTAATTCTTATATCTTAACGTCTCTAAATCGTATTCATTCCTGCACCAATAAAATGCCAGGTTTGCATGCATGTCTCTCAGCAGATACCATCTCCAACCTCATGTCTTTCCCCTTCTCCCTGTCTGTAGTCTTCTCTTAGTCGCAGACAATGTTTAATAGTATGAATTAAATCACACATTCTGTGCCTTAAAGTGACCGTGCAGAAAGAGAACCACTTACTAGCAGGACAAACATCAGCCGCATGGAAGAAAACCACGACCACTGAGAAGGAGCATGTAGTCATGTGAGATATTTGGCTCTGGTGATGCTGAATCTACAAGCCTAACATGTTCACAACGAACATAAATAGTAGTGCCTGTGTGTTTTAAGTATAATAGCTGGTATGAGTATTTACTGTATGCATTTGACAGAATTCTGAGTTAATAGTTTCTACCTTGGATTCTACCTTGGATTACAAAGCAGGATTTCAATATAAAGAAAATATAGAAGAGTTTTCTCAGAAAGCGTTCCACTAAAGAAGCAACCTGATTACCACTCAGCTTGGATCATTTATGCAGTTTACAGTGTTTTTGGTCAAATTGGATAGATACAGTGTTTTTCATAAAAATTCAAAAAATATCCACTGGACTTGGTTTTCAAGATTTGAAGACGTTTCGCCACCTCTCCAGGAAGCTTTCTCAATTCAAATGTCTGGAGTCTATATAGACAAAGCCTTGTATCGCTTGGAAACATGCAAATGGTAACCGATGAATGGATCATTGGTTCTATCAATAGCCTGTAATATCTGAAACCTGTCTATGATTCTGAGGGTCGGTCATTAAAGGGGGGGATTG